CGTAATCGTTGATCGGTAATTCGGTTACTCCGTATTCAGTAATCACGTTTAATAATCGTTAATTTGATTATATCTCGTTTTCAATTCACGATCTCGCGTTACGACGTAAAAAAATATGTATTTTTCCGGGATACACCTTACGCGCATAATACGAAAAGACATGCTGTAATTATTATCGTACGCCTTACGTATCAGCGGAATTGGTAAAAAAGAAACACCCACACACACACGACGCGGGATTCGCCGAAACAGAAGATGCGCAAACGCGCGGCGCGAAAGTGCGCGGAAATTAATGCGCTTTTAAAGCTCAAATTAGATCGACGCGCGAACAAAAGGCATTAAGTGTATTTGCATGGCCGATACGCATGCATAAATAAATTTGCATATTTACGATATATTTACATTCGCGCCCCGCGAATTCAGATATCTCGCCGGTTATCCGGTATACGCGATAATGTCGCTATCGACGCACACGCGTTCGCGCCGCTCGCAAGAGGCGGGATTAAAAAGCGCCGCAATAAAAATCAGCAGACGCGATTTATCCGCACCGCCGAGCTCGTAGGTGCTTCCAAGAGACGAACGTTACGATTGCGTAACGGTCGGTTCCACGGCGTTTCTTACACAACGGCGAAAAATTATGCAATGCCCTGGCGAAAAGTCTGGCCGGGAAGACGCATTTCGCGCGAACGAGCAAGCGAGTGAGCGAGTGAACGAACGAATGAACGGGCGATGCAAAATTATCGCGAAAGAAGTAACAGCGGCTTCTCCTATGGATTCGCACGCGAATCGCTTTAGGGTTCATTCTCATTATCCGTCTGGACGATGGCAGACGAGCGTCGTCAATTCTCCGTCAATTTTATTTACCATCCAGATTCGACTCTTGGAGGCAGGAGGGAAATTAAGGCAGGATTTTTCGCAAGATTGAGAAGGAATTGAAAAGTATATTATTAAAATAATTGGGAAGGGATAGTGAGAATCATTTATATTAATAATGAGGATACAGAATAGCTTGACGTGGAAGAGTGATTCATCGCGTATACTGTAGTTCAAAAAAATATATGCGTGCGCATTATCACACTATCAAGGATATATAAAAAAAAATCATTTTATACTTGCGTTGAAGCGCATCTTTGTAAACATTTTTGTGTTAAATTTATTAACATAAAAACATTGTGTGTAAAGTTAACATATTGTTTGTGTTATTTCAATATTTTGTGTTGACTTGATATTCAACACGTCTAAGTGTTAAAATAGTATATTTTATACTTCAGTGTCTATTAACATATACAGCACAAATGTTCAAAAGACATTCTATTAACATTTATAGACAAATTATATTAATTATATTAATTACCGTCAGTAACGGCCGCTGTCTTAAAAATTAAGCGATACGTATATAGCTAGAGAAGTAGAAGTATGCAAAGGCGATTCAAGATTTAGAATTTTCCGAGTTCGAATCTTATCAGTGATAAGTATATTTTTCTAGTACGACATTAATTGAATTAATTAAATGACACATTTAAAGGCAATTTTAATCAATATTATTGACATTATGTTAAGAACAACATAATAAAAAAGAATGATAGATTTTTCACCATGAAAATAACATTTTCTGTATTATATTTGACATTATAAATATGTCAATTTAATATAAAATTTATTTTCAAATAGTGTAAAAGCATTACATTTTTGAGTTAATTTTTTACATAATATTTGTGTAACTTTTTAACATATTCACAATTGTGTTAAACAAAAATTTGGGTGGCTCGTTTGGAACATATAAAATGTGTTAAACTTAATATACAATTTTTTATTGTGAATATTATTCATCCATGGTTTGAATGATAAGCGCGATCAGCGCTCTTATTGGCTTTTCGTTTCTTCTTGTTAAGATATATATAGATTGTGATAACCTTGTGTTTACATAGTTTATATAGTTGACATTTACGTAGTTTTTGACGTATTTATATATATTTATATATTTAGTTTATATTTATATAGTTTGAGCACTATCATTGTCGGATAAACGACAGTCTAGTGGCCGGCGTCAGAGTATTCCTTAGTTTATTTCGAAATGTTGGAAAATTACATATTATGAACATTATTTTGTTATATATATATATATATATATATATATACAAATATGGTTTGTCTAACCTTTGTCGATTAGACAAGATTAGTTGGAAGGTGGAGACAAATTAATGCCCTACGTATGTTAAAAGACCGAGAAAATTTCTTGGCGCGTACGATACATGGTCGAGATTATTATTCCCTCACAAGGAATAATTATACTGCAAATCCACGTGTGTAATAAGCACATACTTACGTGTGTAAAATTATACATTTATATGTGTGATTTGAATAATTAATTTACATATTTAAACATGTAATTTAACATATTCCATCGTATTTAACACGATACATAGTACAAAGTGTATAAGAAAGAAATAAAAAATACCTACTTTTAATTAATTTAGATATGTAAAAAATATTCACTTAAAACAATTTTACATATTTAGATCTTCTCACATATCAGTTGTACATATAATTATGAGGAAATATGAAGTTAGGAAGAAAATTTCAGTAAAATTGTTAATAATTTAAAACAAACGCTCGAATAAAACGCACAGAACTTACTAAACTACACTATCTCCTTTTAATGTTTCTTATGTTTTCTAAATAATTATAATTATATAAATAATATAAATTTACAATATACAATAAGTTTATTATATGAACATACATTGAGAAGAGAGGTATTTTATCCACATAAAATTTAACATTTTCGTGGCTAATTAGTAGTACATATTTTTGGTTAAAAAAGATAAGAGAGAATAATAAAATGTTGAATCCTTAATCATACGTAATCACCCGTTTTAAATGTGTGATTTAATATGTAAGCATATAAAATGTACGCATTTAACTGCGTAAAATAACACAAACGAAACGTGTAGCGAAAAAACCCGTAAAAAGTGACAACACGATTTTAAGCAAAAAAGTAAGCGCATAAAAAATTACACACCTGATTTATAGTGTACCTTAAAACAAAACCATCGAAGAATGTTTTAACGCAGGATCGACGCCTGTTGAGAATCAACCCTTAACGCGCGGCTCGCTCGCGCGGCGCCGGCGAAGCGTACACGGGGGATTTAGCCCGGGGAGAACGCGTCGTCGGAGCGTTGAACGAGAGCGCGTGTTCGCCCGGGCGATCACCGGACATACGACCGTTGAATAAACGTCGGGAATCGGCGCGCAGTTAGACGCAACTACCTACATACGTGCGAGCCGCTCTCTGTTTGTTGATATTTAGAAGAGCCGGAATAACCCGCGGAGGCCGGCGCGCCTCGCACCGGAATCGGCTGGCGCTACGACGCGCGATCGACGCGCTTTAATTGACGATGTGTGCGTGTGTGTGTGTGTGTCACGCGTCTTCTCTTTCTCTGTCTTTTTGCCTCCATGTCTCCCCTCTGTCTCCCGCGACACGCATTTATTTTAACTTGTCTCTGATCTTAAACTAGTTCGTTTCGAACTAGTTCGTGAACAAAATTCTTCAAAATGTTACGAAAAAATGAATTATGTTTTCAAATAGTGATCCACCGATCTGAAATAACCTGCGCACGAATATCTGCGTTTACTTTTGATTCGTGTTTATGCAATTTTCAACACTTGGCATTTTTCTAACGCTAAAATATTCTAAATTTCTTTCTTTAGTATCGAAGATTTTTAAGGAAAATTTCTCTTTCTCCCTCTCTCTCGTTCTTGCTCTTGTTTTCTTTTCAATATATAACATTTTAGTAGAAAAAAGAACCCCTTCCTTCATAAGTATACCCTTATAAGCTCTCTCCTTCAAGCATTAAATTCCATTCGAGATCTTGAGATATTGTACGGCTTTGATATTTGACAAACGTATACATGTGATAACAGAGCCTTAGCGTTTAAAAAACTTGACTTTCTTTTTCGTTATTATAAGGATTTTAAAAATTCTCGGATATTAATCATTTTATATTGTGCGTTTGATAAAGCCACATTTTGTATATGATCTGTGATTTGGTCATCTTATCAAAGTTGTCACTCAATCCTTATTGAACGCGTGCAAAACAAATTTCTTACAAAGGCTAGCTTTCATTTAAGTAAGCCAATTTCAATCACTTGTTATAATTATATATATTGAATCTATTTCTATTTAATTAATTCAATTGAACTAAACTTTTATCCTTTATGTAGAAAGAAACTGAACTTGACTTACTGTTTCATATAAAATTCTAAAGGGATCAATTAAGTGTCCGAACATTTTAGTCCGGTTTATATTTAACATTCCTGTTGGACCCTTTAGATACATTTTTCCATTCCTATATTGAACAGCACCATATGGGTGGAATGGAATATTACACTGTATGAATGGCATAAACCTTTTAATCGGCTGTCTCTTGCTAATAATCTCAATGATAAAATTGACTTTTATCATATGTCACTCTTGTCCTCCTTTAGAAGCATCATTAATGATATATTTAAACCAAATACATTTTAAAGAGTTATAATATAATGAATAATGTGTGTGTGTGTGTGTGTGTGTGTGTGTGTCATTATAATTGTATCTTTTTATGCTGGCATTTTTATTTTTAATATATTATAGATAGTACGCTTTACTTTTTCTTTTTTATTTAATTTTTTCTTTTCTTTATTACTTTATTTGTCGAATATATTGTGTTAAAGGGATATTTCCTGTAAATAAATAAATAAATAAATAAATAAATAAGTAAAATAAATAATAATAACATATGTAGAATGTTTTAATCCTATGAGTATATATATGATATTCCAAAGCTAAATACGATCAAACTTCACCGGTATGTTCTATAAGTAGAAATAAGAAAAAATGTTACATAAATATGGGCCCGAACAGGCTTTACTATATATTACTATACTATACTATACATTATATTGAAAAAAATAGAAGTCCATTAAATATTTTATTTCAAAATACGGTTCTCCGTTTATAATACAAGCTTGACATCGGAAGATTTAATTTTAATCCCTCTATGAATTTTATCTCTATCTTACTTTATTTCATAAAACGTATCACTGATTCTGTCCATCAGTTCTTGCCGCGAATCGACTTTTGTACAATGCACTACCTTTTTCATCTTTCACTGTTCTCCGCAAATAAAAATTTAGCAGTATACGATTTTTGGTAGTCGCAGCAGCCAAACAGTCCTCCCCAACTTGTCCACCTTTTGTCAAAAATCACACTCGTGTATTCTTTGTTCGAGACATTTGTGACACTCGTGACATTTGTATACCAAATTGTACTATATTTCAAGCCTGACAAAAGCTCGCACAATTATCGAAACCGATCACCTTCGATTGAAAATAGCATATACAAACATAACTAAAAAAATATAAGTAAAAAAATAGTAAAAAAAACCCTTATATAATGCCTTCAAAAAGGAAATTTAATAGTTTCGGCGCATGGCCGAACAGCTACATGGGTCAACGCATGAGCGACTCTGTCATTGATTGTGACACGCGCCGTCATGACTTAAATCATAATACAAGGAGTTAAAAACTTCTTCGACTCAAATCCGCCGTCATTTTATCAAATGGGGATCCGCCAGCTTCCTGAAAGATGGAAGAAATGTGTCGATATTAGTGGAAATACTTTCTTGGCTGAAACATAATTTCATTCTATGCAAATAAACCTTAATTTTCACTAAAAAAGACCGAGAATTAATTTATACCTCTAATATATCGCACTTACAATTACATAAAATCTATCAGAAATATAGAAAGCGTGATCGTATCAGTGTTTATAGTGACATAAACGTTTCGACGATCGCTTCTGCGTTAACGACGCTTATCAAGTTCGTCATCGACTTTAGCATCCTCTTGATCCAAACAATGTATAGTAGTAGCGATATGTATGTAAGTTTATCGCTACTGACACTACAAAATACTTGCTGGAAAAAATAAATCTCCTGACTGTAATTCTCTCGCTCATGTGATTATGTAACACTAAAGAATACGAAAAGCATATTACCAAAAACTATCTTCTCAGTTTCCTGCTATTCCACTCATACACGGAGTATACCGGCGGGAGCTCGATCGTCCGACTTCGGAGCGTTCTGCATAAATTACTTTCAGATGCATCTTTGTATTTTCTCAAGTTTCTCTTTTACTCCCGTAACGCGCAGAACGGGTATATCGCGGATCGTTGATAGCGGGCTCTTACAACTGTGTTAACCGGCTCCTTTTAACCTTGCTCGGTCTTAACTATACGCCTCGTCGACTCACGTGTTAAGACGCAATTTAATTTTCGCTCTTTTCGAAACGAGCTTCCTTTCCCTCCTCCCTCCGCTTTGCCCCCTTCTATCTCGCTGTTGTACGCGCGCACCGCCGGATAATAATTATCTTCGACACAAGACTCGGCGGTTCCTCGCGGGATCCGCGGACCGTAGCGCCGAGTCCGAGCGACTGCATTACGACATTACGTGGCGAGTGCGGGCTCATTCCGCTAATCTTGCGTAGGCACGCATGTCGTTCGTGCTTGTCGGAAACGCGACATCGTCGACGTCGCTCGTCACGGAACCAAGAAGGCCTTACGTCGTTGCATGAGCGCTCATGCACACGCACGTGTATGTGTGCGCGCGAGTCCACTACCTGCATACACGCGCATATCCGCATACGATGCATCGCGAGGCGTAAGCGCCGCGACGAGAAATATCTCGAATTAAAGCCGCCGATGTGCGCGGCGGTATTTTACGTGCGACGAGCGAATCGCCGGCTGAATTCGATTCCGCTGGAGCGGCATCACGCATCCGCCGATGATTGGCCGCGTTCCTCCGCTCATTAATAACGCGCGCTCGTCTTCTGCGCCTCGATGGCCATCTACGGTGGCCATCGATCGCGCTCGCGTGTGACAGTAATGCTTGGCGGCTTACTTCCCGACGACTGGTCCGTTTCTTTCGAGAGACTCTCTTCCAACTTCAGTTACGTGTCTCGCTTTTTCCTCCATTCCTTCTTCTTTCCTCCTCTTCTCGGCCCCTCGGAGCGCGAGATGCCGCGGTGTCGGTTTCATCGATGCACGCCGAAGTTGCAAACTGCCCGCGACAATCCGGAATTCCAGACACCACGTATCTTCGTGGAAGAAATTCGCTTCTGCTTTCTCGCGAAAAAAATGCACTCGGGAGCAGAATAACGGCGTTAAAACTCGCTCAGGACGGCTTTGGCCGATTACTGTGATCGACGATTAACTGAACGGAATTGACCAATCGCATTGATCAATTCAGCTAATTGACCCGTGCGATTGGTCAATTCCGTTCAGTTAATTGTCGATTAGGTTAATCGGAGATTGGTGAAAGCCGCTCTTAAGGTCACTATACTAATCGTATAAGAGAAATCTCACTAAAATCATGGATATTTCGGCCTCAATTATATCTGCTTTTAACCCAAAGGAAGTGGCAGCAATATGCATGTGAGGTTATGATGTCTGGCACTAACATTCTAGTGGTCTTCCTGTTTATAACTCTCTTGTTAATGTGATTACAGCTACAAATACCAAAAAATTTCTCTGTAGGGTTTCTCAGTAACATATATTTTTTTCTTCGTATTAATATGCTATGATTGTTGATTATTCGAGGAAACAGCAAAAATATTTGAGGTATTGTTCAAATAGAGAGACATTTGTAACAAAGAACATAAAGAACATAAACATAAATATGTAAAAAAAAAGAAGTAATAAATGACATATGTTTGTCATTTCCTTGAACAATCAATAATTATGATACACGAATAGGTACGCTCAGAGGAAAACGTATAGTAATGACGATAATAAAGATGACAACTGAATAGTGAACTCGTTTCTTAATGTATCAGACCGAGGATCGCTATAATTTTTCAAATCACACGCATCGTTTACGTATATTTAGAGAAAAATATAGTAAAGTAAGTGATAATCATATACGAATTTTGTACCTAGAGAATTAATACGTATAAATATAAACGTAAATTATTTAATAGTTATTAAAATTAAATCTGAACGGTTATGATAACTATAGCTATCGCGGACTATAGTTTATGCTATGTCGTATCACCCCGACTTATGTAGTTGCATTGACTATAAAATAATTTACTAAACTATATGTACTAATTCCGCGTACAAAACTCGTATAGTTATCCTATATTATTTTATTTTTCTCTGAGAGCGTAGACACTCGGTCTGATGAAGAAAACAATTCAGTATTTGTGACTGATTGCACAGTGAAATAATTATATTCGCGAAAATTACCTTGGCGGTGTGTGTGCCGCTATAATATGAATGACAACTATACATGCATACCGTTGCTACTGCTTTTTCGTTAGAATTAATTAAAATTATAGTCGACGTCGAGAGTAACTATAATTTTAGTGGAATTAACTGATTCCTCTCACTGCGTACATGTTTAAACACTTTTGCTGGTCTATACACCTAATATCGCCGATTCTTTTTGCGTATCAACGACGATTTCGAATTGCGATCTAACCTTGATGATCGACAATCTTTCTCTCTCTCTCTCTCTCTTTCTCTCCAAGAGTGCGGGAGATTTCCCAAATTACAAGTTTCGCGGGAACTCGCGTTTGTGCACGCCGCGAGACAATAGCGGGACGGTCGACTCGAGTCGGAAGTAGTTGACTGGGGCATTGTTACAGCTGTAACTGCGATTAGCATTTAATCCCGTTTTCGCGGATGGGCGAGGAGAGAGGCGGTCGGAGAGAGGAGCGGCGGGGAGGTGGAGGGGGAAGAGAGAAGACGCGAATTCCGTGATTGTGCCGCGGAGTTTTCCGCGGGAGCGTCGTGAGAGAAGTTGTTGCTACAATGAGAGAGAGAGAGAGAGAGAGAGGCTGCGGGAATGCGCATCCGCGGGAATATAACGTCCGCCGAGGTATTTTGAGTCTTGCCTGCAGGCGCTTACGGAGGTTTAATCGCACGATTTTCGAATATCTCGACGGACGCCGTTGTGCTCGCCGTCGGCCGTTGCCGGCGGTTAACTCGCCATATTGCGTACGGCGCTTCTCGAACGCGGCTAAATAGTGGTCGGCGAAAGAAGGAAGAAACGCGAAAAGCGAAACTATAGAGAAATGATGTTCTATTTATTCGCGAGAGGAAAGGTACTCTCCCTTTGCCCTTCCCTCCGGTATTATCCTTTCCCCTCTGATGAACTCGCATGTCTTTGAGACTAAACTATGCGTATGTACTGTAATAATTTGCATGCTACTTTGATTATCTTTTTTGCAATGTTTCTTTCTTTGTGTGCTTCGGAGAGCTTGGGCAGAGTTTTCCCCAAGGTGGACTAAAAACGCATCCGTTCATTCATCTCCCTGAGTCGAAATTTCGAGACTACTTTGACGTTCTTAAAGCTGGTTGGTACTGCTTGGATGGTCTATAAACTATTAAAATCCTACTTTGACGATGTTACTTGTTAACTTGTTAACTTTTCCCTCTTGAATATAAATATATTTAATTCTACAATTTTTATGCTACTTTATAACCTTATAAATGCTCTCGATTTTCGATTGTTACATTCATATGAGCATTCAAAACAATCTATATTGACGCTAAAAACAACGGAAACGGAAGTTTGAGACATCATCGTAGTCGAAAAGTAGGGGGGTAAATTATATCATTAGAATTGAACCTATTTTGCCATCTTCAATTGTGTCGCGAAATTAAACGTCTGACAAAATGTCGAGTCACACTTGTCCCGCGTATGGCAAAGGTATAAATCGCGGGAACGTCTCACTTTATCGAACGATACTCCGTGTCGCCAGGCGTGCGACACCGCGTTAAAGGATAAAGGTTTAGCGAGGGGTGAGAAGAAAAAGTCGCGGGACGGCTTACAGGAGGGGGCGAGGAACTCTCGCCGAGATTTATTCCAATCGTTGTTTATACCGGTAACAGAGTTTTAAGTCGCGTAAAGGCGCAAGGAAGGGAAGGGGGAGATGTTTTATTCAAGGAAAAAGTTACAGCCCGCCGCGGTACGCGCGCTCGCTCGCACACACGCATGCGCAATGGCCTTAATCGTGCGAGGCGATTTTTCGGCGCGCCGTGTTCTCACCCGATAGAGCCGGCGTTCACGGACAATCGACGCCGAGCGCCGGGGACACGAGGAGGCCTGCCTGGCGTCGCTAATGGCGAGGCCACTTCCAACAGATAGGATCTTCGCTACCTCTCCCTCTTCCACTCACCTTTAATAATGTGCGTGACAACGGGCTCACGCATGCAGGCACGCACGCACGTTTGTACGCACGCACGCACGTAGGCTGGCCTGCCTGCCTGGCGGGCAGGCACGCACGGACGGATGGACGCACGCACGCACGCACGCATGCACGCACGAATATCGGCGGTGGAGCTGGGGAAGGCAGAAATCCCTCACGCCAGCCTCCTTCCTTATAATATAGAGCGCCGGAGGATCGCGTTTGATCCTTCCGCGCTGGAGCGGTTTACTTAGAATCCACGGTGAAATAAAGGCGAGCGCGCCCGCACGTGATTCGTTGGGATTGGCGGCCGCGGCTGATCGGTGAGCGCGTAACTTATCGTAAGCCGTGCACATGTACAGTCGGCGTCATGCATGCCGCACCTTCTTTAAACCAACAGTCGCACGATTTTCAGCTCTACAACTTTGAACATTGTATTTTGGATGTAAACCGTCGATTTTAGTTGATTTTGTGCCACTGGCCGCAAATATAACAATTAAAATAAAAACTTAGCTCTAATTTTTATTAAACAGTAAATCAAAAGGGTTTGATATTTAAGAATTTTGTAATGCCGAGAAAAGAAAATATTTTCAAAACCATTTCTTTGAAAAATAATTTTTTATTTTCAGATTACGTGTATAGCAGTCTTCCAAGAAAGAGTCTTCCAAGAGCTGTCCTCCAAAAGATTCTATGAATGTGACATGTGTTTTAATTTCCCATATAGAAAGATAGAGATTATTTCTATTTTTTCATTGTAATATTCTTTATTGCGAGACTGTTAAAAGAAGCCTAATAATGTAAAATTTGCGAGGAAATTTAGTTTTTCTGACAGTATATAAAAATAAAAAATTACAGTAAAAATATATTTTTGTTGTTTTATTTTCATATCTCTCTCATATTTCTTGAGGCCTAGTTAAATAATTTTTTAAATGTTATTTTCTGTTTCAACACATAAAAATGGAAAATTCAAATTCAAAAATGATGTAATTTGTGATACGAAATTTATTGACCAGTGTTTAGTGTTAGTGTTAGTATAATAGTTTCGACCTTGAGTCGAAATGTTGGTCCTATGTGAAATTTTAATTTTAAAGCACAGTAAGATCTAAGATAGCAAAATAGATTAAATTAATAATAAATTTCAATTCTTATAACGGCTATAATTTATTCCTATTTTGACTATGATAATGTCTTCAATTTCCGTTTTCACAATTTTAACGTCAAATTTG